GACAAAGAGCACGGCAGCCCTGTCCACGCATCAAGTGAAGAACTCCTCGCCCGCCTCAGTTCTGAGGAGCAGCAGTAGCTGGGTTGTGCAGTTCTTCACAGAGTCTCCACTTTACATCTAAGAGGGTCTTGCCAAAAGCCCTGCAGTGAGCAAGTGAGCCAGGGTACTCTGGATCTGTTACAGCCCAGGACAAACTGTTGGTGAGACCTGCTTCGTCATCAAGAGTTGCCCAGTGTCGCACCCTGGGAACTGAAATAGCAGATCATCCCTTCTTAATTCTGCCGCTAGGACTGCCAGACCCTTCTGCAGAGATTTGCCTAGCTGAGCTCAGTGTTTACAGATCCAGTAGCCCTATCCTTCATCTACAGGTGGCCCACGGTCTGCCACGGGAAGAACCACGGCAGGCAAGAGGGACAGACTCCTTTACGCTGCTGTTGTGCATGCGTGTCCATGCCGGCACCCCATGCACACAGGCTGCTCCTTGCCAGAGACGATGTTCTCCAACTCTGTCGGTGCAAGGCTCTGAAAACTTTGCAGATGCACAGATCCAACTCAACTAACTTCATCTAAAACACCAAGTTACAATATTGGGGGGAAAAAAAAAAGTTCGGCACAATAAACCATTCCGGAAACTTGTTACTGTCTCATTTTAGAAAGAAGGACAAAACAGGTTGTTGATATTAGTTACTGGGTTAGAATTTGCGTTAACTTTGGTTAACTTCTACTAATAAATAAGTTAAAGAAAGCTAAGGCTATAAATTGGTACTGTTTAATTTATAAATATTCACTTTATTTCTATCATTTTCTAAAAAAAAAAAAACGTGTTAAGGAAAAAGGTGGCCGGAACGATTACACACGTTGTAAATTGTAATTTGGTTGTTAGGCTGTAAAAACCAAACACGTTAAGTGAAGTTGAGCACAGTGTAAGAAAAAGCCAGTTTTCAATTAACAACTTATTTACAAGTTCATAAAATCAACTGAACTGGAGTAGATGTCCTGTGTTTGTCACCAATATTTTATTGTAACTGGTAACTCGCACACTTTATAGTAGAAGAACCAAAGGAAAATAAAGTTCACTATATACAGCCTTTGTACAGGCTACTTGACTATACACAAGGCATAGTGATCATAACACAACCTAGTCCTCATCATAATTTGTGCACAAGAAGACACCAATCAGACATCATGTGAACATTACAGTGAAATGACATCACAAGTCCAGTGAAAATTCAGCATAATACAAAACATACTGATCTACTGCAAATGACATCCGTTAAAACAGTAAGCCTTTATTCAGTAGTAACTTAACCAGAGTCTGATGCAGAGATTTGTTGTGTAGTTATGAGTCTTTTAAGTGAGGCAACCTCTGCAGACAAGTTTGCTATGCCCTGCTTCAAATACAGGTTCTCTGACTCAGAGACATTGTAGATATTGTCTTTTATTTCAACAACTCCAGTTTTGCAACCACTCTGAATTTTTACATTGAGTTCCTTCTGGTGCCAGAGCTCCGGTTTAAGTGACCAGTCTTGAATGTTAGTCACTTGAACCGAGAAAGGAGTGTGAGAAGAATGCACCAGGTTTTGTGCACTGTGTTTTTCAAGCTCAAAATGCCTTTTTGAGGACATGTCAATGGGTGACGACAACTTCTGTGTCGCGTCATAGTCATTATCCATTGCTTCCACTTTGACTTGCATGGCTTTGGCTTTAATTCGGAGCTTGTGAGGCAAAGCTGAAGAATTCACTTCTGGAACTTTAACTGTGGCATGAACGTTTTTATGTTCAACGGGGGAATGGATTGGACCCTTCGGAACCTGCTGTTCATCTTCTCCATCAGATGACTTTCCAACTACACCATCGTCAGTTTCCGACGTTCTAGGGGAATTACTGGAGGACCTATTAACTTGCAAGAGAGGAGGAGAATGTGAGTACACATTAAAGGTAGCTCCCATGTAGTTTGGATATATGGATGCTTTATATGAACCTCTGTCGTCCCTTGGCTCTCTCTCCAATTCCACGGGCTCCTGCTTTATAATCTGGAACTTATTTTCAGGGCTTCTGCAGCTGTTTTGTATACGACTTGGTTGAGTATGCTCTACCGAGGATATTTCAGACACGTCGGACATCGAGCTTTGAGGAGAATGTTTAATGACAGAAATACAACTGCTACCAACTATAGATGGTTCGTGTTCATCTACAAATGAGTTAATATTTGATTTGGAACTCTGATAGTCTTGGAAATACACAGTTGTTGAGCTACTGAGTTTCTGTATCTCTTGGGCATAGGCTGCAGAACTAATTAAACCAAACTTGAGCTTCAATGAAAGCAGCTCCGCCTTCAAAGTGGCATTCTCCTCTCCCAGTGCAATTAGTTTGTTCTCTAAGACAAGGTCATTCAGTCGTCGCTTTTCACGAGATCTTTTGGCAGCTTCATTATTTTTCCGCCTTTTCTCCCAATACATAGCATCTTTCTTTTCATCTGGAATGAACTCTCGCTTTCTCCGGCAAGCTGAAGATTTGCTTTTTCCACTACTTGCTTCAGTAAGTAGCATATCTTCATTCGTAGACAATTCTTCAGACACTTCTGCTAAAGTAGACTTAAGTACCATGATTTTGTCCACATTGCTACTTGTGTCAACAGGTCCGTGTTCCTTTTTAAGGGTCTGCATTTTTCTCAGCTGCATCAGAAACAATTTGTAGTAGATCTACAATGAGCAACAGAGCAAGCTGCTTCCCCAGTACTTCGCACTCCACAACTTGATAAATACAGTAATTTTAAATCCACACACATTCTTCCTTTTCTTTCATATTCTCCGACAGAAGGGTCTAGAACCAATTTTCTTGTCAGAGACAATGGGAATCTTCTTAAAAAACCTGGAATAAATAGAGAATTTGATTACCATTTAGGAATTGCTGGTTCAGGGCATGCAAAAGTAGCTTTTGATAAAAAGCTTAGACTAGCATTCAGTTCATTAAACCTGCTGTAATATGAAGGCAGCTCAACACTGAAACAACTGATATTCTAAGCTTTATGATACCTAGGTAGCAGCTTTGCTTCCAAAACAAAAGCAACATGATCCAAGGGAAAATCAATTTTAAAATATTTGAATTTTGATCCCAAGTAATGTCACAGAACTTTCCATGATATCATTGACCAACCTAAACCTCAACACCCAACACTGCAGGACACCAGGCATGTTGATGAGCAGCACTGGAAAGTATCTTGTTCTACCACATTACAGCATCTCTTCTGAAAACAGCTGTGGTGCATGACTTAGAAATGCTATATATTTGGGTCCTTCATGGATTAAAAATAACGTAAGCTCATTTAGAGAAGCTTGTGTGCTTTCTATTGTCTTAAAATAACATCAAGTATCTATTAAAGCTATTAAAGATTTAATTATTGGTTTTGCATTCTATAAAAATATATAGAGATACATACATGTGTTTAAAAATGTTTATACACACACACTTGGCATTTTAAAATGCTTTTTAGATCAATGATATCAATTCAAACTGGTAAATACGCATACATAATTTGGGCAAATACCCAACTGTTAAAAATATTGACGAGGAAAAAAAAGTAATTTTTTTTTCTTCTTTTATAAAGAAAACTTTAAAATCAGTATTGAAAAATACATCAGAGAAGTAACATTTCATTAATAATTTGCATTTGAAAAATAGTCTTATTACATCAAAAGTAAAGTTTAATACCACTGAGGGATGTGCAGCTCTAGGAAACAGTGTTTGCTAAGTGGAAGCTTAGATCTAAAAGTCTTACCATTAACAAAAGAAAACTAACTTAACCTTCAGCTTCAGACATTTTAATCATTGTATTTGAACTTTCGCATTTAAATTGTCCTCAGCTTTATTTAGTCCCTCTTAATGTAAAAATATTTTATTCTCATAAGATCATTTGGTCTTGATCTGAGACACAGCTTCTCAGTATCTCATTTTCCATAGTCAGTCATGTTCCTGGTAAAATAAATGCGGTATGCCAAGTGCTTTTATAGAACCGACTATTGAGTCAGCAATGACTGCATAACAAAACACCAAAAGAAAAAAAAAAAGGCACTTCAGATTAATGTCACTATTTATTGGGAATGTTTTTACAATGACTAATGAAACTAATTTTAACATTATCAGTTGGGAAAGTTATAAAAGAATTAATTAATAGTATTCTGCCAGTTCCTCTTGTCTTTTCCAGAAGGCAAAGAGGAGTGAATGATGTAATAACAATTAAGCAAGGTCATAAAAGACTCAGGTTTCAAGCTGGGTTCTGTTCCATCAAACCATGCCAACACTTCTGTCATGAAAAATTAACACATTTAATAGAACAGCTAAGTAGAATTTCCTAAAATCCATGGTTAATTACTGACATGTAACCATTTGTCTTCGATAATACAGCTCTAATAGAAAATAGAGTTAGAAGCCAGCCACACCAAAGACAGCCTCTAACATTTTAGTGCAAAAGCAGCACCACAAATTGCCATGTTTGTAAAAGGAGAAGTGTATCTCTAATATGCAAGCAATTACATAGTTAGATCCTTATCCAAAATTCAAACTAGAGTCAAAGGGTGTTTTCTGTCAAGTTAAATAGGAGCTGGATCAAGTTTAAAAACAAAAATAAGCCCCACAACAAAGCAGCATTGGTTTGTCCAAACATCCAGTATAATGTGATGTGCTGAAGACGACATATAGCCATTCTGTCCGTTTCACTGCTACATGTAATCAATGGTTTAATTAATGTGCATACCATTTTAAATCTAGTGCAACTCAAACTTGAAAAAAAAATTATTTTTGAACACACAGCATTTAAAAATAGACAAGGCCAAGCGATTTTTTTCTGGCATTTGTAGAATATTCAGTCTCTGTAACATGACTTAAAATTGAAAAAGGAAAAATACCAGAATTTTATTTCATTATCCTCTAGTAGCATTGGGAACACTCAGAGCTATTGATTCCTAATTGTCTTGATACACTACAATCACTGCGTTCCCTTGTATCATTAACAACTTCCGCATTTCCGAGGAAGTGCCTACACCACCTATGGCACACAGCAGGAAGCAGCGAAACATGCACTGAAGACCTACGAAACCACCACCTGCCTCGCAGGACCATCTCAGCCACTGCTCACTTCAGTCAAAAGGGTTCAGAACAACGTTTGTGAACGTTCAGGGCCTTACCCGTACAGAGGCCTGACGGAATTCAGCAGTGCTAGAGAGCTACGCTCCAACACAAATAGAAATATTTTTTTTCTGTTAGAAGAGGGATAATATTATGCGTGCATGATTATTTTCTGTGTATTTGTCTGGCATACACTCTGGAACATCTACACTTACTGGAAACAGTAGTAACAGCAAGGAATTGCTCACAAGCATAGGATCTGTCTATTTTACAAGACTGAAAGTGTACCTACACAGATTTAATGCATCTTTTCTTTCCTCTTATATTTCAAACTTCCATTTCCACATGACACGCAAGCAATATGTTTAGTCTTGAATAAGACTGTTTCAGGATAAGAACTATGACTTTGGGTTAGTTAATCTGTATGGTCTCCAGAGCAAAGTGAACCCACTTTGGGGTTTGTCCAACACTGTGAACCAGGAAAAATACTACCAATAGTAATAATTATTGAAAAGTGTTGGTTTGCTGTGGTTCCCACCCCAGTGAACACAGACTAACGGCACAGTTATCAGTATGACTGTCTAGGTATCGGCAAAAACTCAACTGCATGTCCAAACATAGTTTTTCCTGCAGCCTAACACTGGCACTGAGTGGCACTCGACGACCCAGCAACCTGCAGAGTTCCACGGGACTTGTGTGGTTTGGGCCATTCCAGCGTACAATCTGCTCACTGTAACTCCTGTTTTGGCCAGTCTCCCTCCTGCACACATTGTTCCTGGCACAAACAAACTGAACATAAGTAGCATGCAAGTCTACAGTAAATATTAATCGCGTATCAAAACGACCGTGTTTTTGCATGCAGTATTCGACTTTGCTCTCCGCCAGAGCCCATCAGTAAAGCTGTCGAGACAGACATGTAACCCACTGACACACTCTTACTGGTTTGCTATTTATGTCCTTAGTTCGAATGCCATTACTTTAGTGAACTAACAAAACAATAAATCTCTGGCTCTTTCCACATCTTCCCTGAGCACTCTCATCATGGCAACTAGGACTGCTGCTTTACAAACAGGAGTCAAAGCCCTTGTTTATTAATACTTCTCCATGTGGATCAGCCCAATGCTGAGTCTGTAAACAAATTAAATTCCATCTGATGATAATGGCAAAATGCCTTCAATAAAACCAGCCATTTCACTTCACTTGCATTTTACAATTCCACTGGAAAACATCAGTATTTACACATAAATTAATGAACTGTAATGATTCCTCTGACTATATTTCAAATTCCAATATTTTCCCTTATGATTAATTTTTCAATTGCTTTATCACTCCCTCATAAACTGTTATAAAACCAACATTTAATACTGCCTTACATTAGTCACTGTTAAAGATTTTTTTTTTGGTTGGTTGGTTGATGTTAATGGCATTGAGTGCCAATTCAACAATGTAATAACAGTCGACCCTATTAACTTAATTACAGACCCAGTCTTGCTCCCACAGCAATTTTGCCATTGGCTTCAATAGAAGCAGGATACAATCCCAGATCCAAGTATTAATGAGACTGTTGTACAGAACTCATGCTATTGAAGCAAGAAATTATGTATGCAGAAATCACGAAAAGTTAATTTATCCATGGACTTCAAAAAATACTTCAGTGATCTGATTGTGTCAAAATAGTACATTAAGGATCTGATCCTGGGGATTCGTGTATTCACACTGTAATAATTGAAACATTGTGGCCCTGTCCTTCAACCTTTTCAATCTTTCCTCTCTCACTTCTGTGTAATTTAATTACACAAGTCATTTCTGCTTTGGAGAATGCACGTGGGCCTCCCCAAGCACATACGTGTCCTCACAGAACAACTGCCTATTACTATTTGTGTTTAGCAAAATAATTCATGCTATCTCCAAGCATAATTTTACACACATATCCTAGAATGAGATAACTAATTGTTTAATTCAATTGTTCTAACATTTTGATAGAGATTCTATGAAACTAAATGAAATCCCATTTCTAGCAGTTAGATGTTCAAACACAGTTCACTTTTGTATCATCGTGTCCAAAAAATTTCTCTCAGTCCTTCAAAAATGGAAGAAAATAACATCTAAGTACGACTTCTTGTTTCAAGAAGAACCACGCCTCTATCACCATCACCACTACTTGGCAAACTGCAGAAAAAACAGTAGAAGCTCGTTTTGCTGTCTGCCTATGCACATTTTTAATTGTTGTTGTTGTCCATGTCTTGCATTCTACCATTCTGGCACATGTTATTTGTTTTGAAAATCTGTCTACACACCAGAAGAGCTGGTGTAGAACTTGCTCACAGACACCAAAACTGTGTGCATTCCAAACCTTGAAAAACTGAAGAATAGTTTGCATTTTGCCTTTCAAGTGTTTTAAGAACAGTAGCTATCTGTCACGGGCCTTTAATGAGGTACAGAAAAAACAGCAGCCACATTGCACACGCAGGACAGGAGGCTGAGTTTAAGCATAGGTGGTGAATACACAGCCTGCCCCAACGCTGCTGAAGTACTTTGGAGCCACCCTACTACTTTTCAGACAAAAATTATGCCATGGAACTCTGTACCTCTCAGGTCTATCACAGTTCAGAAAGCGGCTCCAACTGAGCATGTGGCCCCATTCCAATCTCCGCTGAAATCCTGCAAGAGACTCTCTCTTGCATTTTATCTGGCATCATTGGTAAAATTATCTTCCTTTTGAAGAAAAGCTTC